GTGGTGATCATTAAGTGTGTGGTAAAGAACAGACCTTTGAGCAAGGTTGAGGCAAACCAAGTGCTAACCAGTTTTGGCCTTTTTTTGGGCTTTTTAAGTATCTAATATGGGAGATTTTCCATCCATTTGCCACAATTTTAGAGTGGTGTGAAAAACAAGAGACTTCTGTGCAGGGCTGATGGAGCTTTACGAGGAGTCATGAGAAGAACGTGACAGTCACTCGATTACTTCTTAATGTTTTTAGTAGCTTGGCAAAATAACTGCTCAAATATAAATAACTGAGGGAACCAGGATAAAGCAGAACAAGAAATGGGCTAGGAACGAGAGGTATAAATGCTATAAATGCTGATGAGCATGAGGCCGACTGTGGTCCCCAGAAAATGTAGATTTCTTACTTAGACAGAAACCAACATCATTGAGGGAAATATCTTGTTTCCATGCCTTGTTTTCTTTGTTAAAATAATTTTGCATGAATACTAATTTGGGGCGGGGGAAATCAACATCATCACACTGCCGTGGCCACTCTGCAGTCAGAGTTCTCTCCAGGTGCCTGTTCTCAATTGTTTTAAAGCAGATGAATGACAGCAGAGCATGGAACCAGTAACAGGTGAGGAAAAGCTGTCAGAAACCCCCAAGCAAAAGGATAGGATTTGGATCTATTTATTGCTACATGCGGCAAATTAAAGTCACTGAGATTTGTAGGAGCAGGTTTGTGGATCAGGTTGTTGAAAGCAGCCCCACGCCGTTCCGTTTAGAAAGGAAACAAATGAAGTGCATCCAGATAAATCAGATGACAGAAGGACATTGAAATTGGATATGCAGATCCGATCCTTCTTTACACTCTCTAAAGGCTTCGCTGAACAACATTATAAAATGCTGTAGCCGTGTTATGGCCCTGACCTGGATCGCCCAGGTTAGCCTGATCTCATCAGATCTCGGAAGCTAAGCAGGGTCAGCCTTGGTTAGTCCTTGGATAGGAGTTGTTTTCTGTTGCCCCAGAAGATTGGACCAGAACCAACGGGTTGAAATTAAATGAAGAGTTTTCAGCCAAACATTAGGAAGACCTTCCTGACAGAGGGGTTCCTTGGGAGGTGGTGGGCTCTCCATCTTTGGCGGTTCTTTGGGAACCTCTTGAGCAAAAACCCTTTCGGTGCCCAAAGCCGACAACTCGTGTGTCCCCTAGCCATTGTCACAACCACCATGTGGCAACATCTCCTATAGAATTCCCTATACAGCCGTCCTCAGAATAAACAGGAGCTGCTCCAACACATTGCAGCTCTCTTGTTAAATTCAGTGAGGCCTGCACATGAGAATTTCTTGGTGAACCGTGCCTGTTAGGTCAATCTGTCTCCCATCTCTGCCATCCTAAATGACACCCAGAATCCATTCACCTCACTGAAGGACCGTCTCCTTCCACATGTCCCTGTGCACTAACTATGCTCATCACCACTTAGTATGGGCCAGAGCCGGGGCCTTTCCCAGTGTGGCTCCAGTTCTGTGGAAGGAGCTCCCTGAACAGCTGAGGGGGAAGCCCTCCTCGGAGATTTTCAGGGGGTGGGGAATTTGCGGTTGGCTATTTTATTTTTGGTTTTAAACTGAAAATATTTTAAACTCTTATTGTAAGCCACCTTGAACCATGAGGAATGGTGGGATGCAGGGGTCATTTCCTGCGGGAGCACACAGGAGCGGAGCTCCGGCAGTAAGAAGGCCAGGGGGTGGGTACATGCAACAAGCCCTGCCTCCTGCTCCCAGCAGCCCTCAGTTGGGCCACGAGGAGCAAGAAGCAGCCAGTTAAGTTGCAGAGTCCCCCACCTGGCCCGCCTTCAGGTTATATAGACAGTAACCTTTAATGCGGGAGAGATCGGCTGCGAGTCCCGCACTAAACGTCCGTGTGACCGGACCCTAAATCAAGAGTTTTCAGCCAAACATTAGGAAGAACTTCCTGACAGAGGGGGTCCTTGGGAGGTGGTGGTCTCTCCATCTTTGGAGGTTCCTTGGGAACCTCTTGAGTAAAAACCCTTTCGGTGCCCAAAGCCAACAACCCGTGTGTCCCCTAGCCATTGTCACAACCATGTGGCAACATCTCCTATAGAATTCCCTATACAGAGCTCCTGCACCTCTTTTTCTACGAAATGACCCCTGGTGGGATGTAAATGTTTTAATAAATAAATAAATAGTGCGCCTTCTGGTGGTTCACCTATGACATCTCCACTGTGTTAGAAGATTTCACCTCTGCTGACGGCCAGATGCTCCATTACAGAATGTGATCAAAATGCAAATGCCAAAAGATGTACCTGGGTTATTGAAGTATTCAAGGGATTAGAATCAGTGTTCCCTCTAAGCTGAGTTAGTGTGAGCTAGCTCACAGTTTTTTAGCCTCCAACTCACACATTTATGTCTTCGCTCAGGAAGGATGGCTCCAGAGCAAACTAATTTATGCAGCAGTCAAATTGCTCACTCACAACTTTAATGCCAGTTGCTCACAAGACTCCACAGCTGAGAGGGAGCATTGATTAGAATCACCTCACCATGTGGCAAAGGGGGATGTGTAACCCCCTCTGGATGGCATCCTCATTTGGGGCTCCAAACTGATCTACGCATGCAACCATGGCTGGATTAACCATTAAGCAGACCAAGCAGGTGCTTAGGGCACCAGGGCCAAAGGGGGCACCACAAAGTTGGGGAAAGGGTGAAACAAAAAGAAACCGAATTAAGATTTGTAAAAAATTTTTTGATAAAATTGATAAAACTAGTACAAATTAATCATGGTGCACCCTAGGGTTATCTTCTATTTTTTGTTGGCGAGGTGCAGTGTCATAGGCTATAATTAAAAGTAAAATGCATTTGTTTAAAAGTAAAATGATGGTGCCAAATTCAGTTGTCATGACAGTGTGGAAAGGAGGGGGGCACCAAGATTGGTCAGTACTTAGGGCACCAGTGAGCCTTCATCCACCCCTGCATGCAACGGAATTCCATGGGGAGACTTTAGAAGGGGCAGCATCGTCTTGAACCACAGATTTCGTTATGCCCGCACCCAAAAATCCTCTATCCACCTAGAGAACTAACATGTCAGAGAGGAGGAGTTGTATGTAGCCTAGCCTCTTCCCTGTCAAGTTGCTAGTTTTCTGTACGCAGGGAGGTTTTTCAGAGGGGGAACAATCAAACATGCAAAAAAAAAACCCACCTTATTTTTTTCCATTGCATGTATAGGTTGGAACATCCTTCCTCTCGCCTCCGGCATCTGTAAGGTTTCTGTTATGACATCTACACCTCTCTTCTCAAACTGTCATGGACTACTTCAGTAGTGAAACATTTCTGTTCACACATTCCCTTTAGTGGGGATTAAATCGCTGCTCTTTCTCTCTGTTTTGCTGGCCCAAATGGGAAGGAAGCTAGTGGGTCGTCCCCAGGCGCAGGAGGTCCTGTCTCTTGAAAAGAGCCGTCTTGCTCATTATGTCTGCTTAGGAGGGCAGAATTGGGCACACCCTGCTCTTGAATCGTCTGCACTGCCGCTTTGCCTTCTTCTGGGGCCACTAGACAAGAAGTTGCAGCTTGTTAAATTGCATTCCCTGCTGGTCAGGTACCCCACTTGAATTTGCTTGTCAAGGCGAATTGTAATGAGGTATATCGAGCCAGGGTCCTGACAGTAAACTGCCAGTAGGATTGCATACCACAGGCACAGAGAATCTGGGGAACAAACTACTTTTCTTCCAGTTCTCAGCTTTGTGGGCAGGGTTGCCAGTTTTGTTTCACGCATGTCCCAGCCCAGGTCGTATTTTACTTCACGGGTCTCCAACATGGTGCCCGTGGTCAGGGGTCGTTTCGTAGAAAAAGAGCTAGGGGAACTCATTAGCATAACTCATTAGCATATGCCACACCCCCTGACATTAGGGGCCCGGCGGTGGACCTGCAAGGCCGGCGGGAGTGCGAGGAAGCCCCACCAAGGCCCTCCCTGGCCCCAGGCAGTCAGGGGTGGGGAGAGGCGGGGAGGAAGCAACTTACCCTCCCTCTTCTCCTGCCTCCTCCTGGCTGAATGAGGGCTGGAAGTGGGGCGGCTGGAAGCAGGGGGTGGGGCTTCGTCGTGTGCCCCGCCCCCTGCACCTCACCCGGGGGAACTGCGATCCCCCGCGATTCCCCCCGAAATGACCTCTGCCGTGGGTGCAGTAACACCCGCTGACATCTTTCCCAGTGTTAACCAAGTGCTTCACACCAGTGTTGAAAGTGTGTTCTGAATATGTTCAATTTGACTGAGATGTTTTATGCTTGTTTTTTATTGGCAGCTTGTTCCCTGTAATGAATTTGTGGATCTGAGCTATGTACATAGTCGAATTCTAAGGAAGGAAATTCGTATTTTTAATATATTGTGATTTGCAATGGTTTGTTTTATGGAATGATTAATTTACTTTAAGAGAGCCAGTTTGGTGTAGTGGTTAAGTGCCCGGACTCTAATCTGGGAGAACCGGGTTTGTCTCCCCACTCCTCCATTCGCAGCTGCTGGATGACCTTGGGCAAGCCATAGTTCTGTCAGAGCTCTCACAGGGTGTCTTTTGTGGGGAGGGGAAGGGAAAGGAGTTTGTAAGCCGAGTGAGGGGGGGTATAAATCCAATCTCCTCCTTCTCCTCTTCTTCTTCCTCCTCCTCCTCTTCGTCTTCTAGAAAATGGGAGGGCTAGGTGCATCTTTTACCCAACGAGACTTCTAATTGGCCATTGGAGATTTGATTGGGTGTACAATTTTTTTTTTTGAAAAGTTGCTCTGACAGCTACAAGGGTCTTTACTGTGTGACCGAAGGTACGCTGTGGCAGCCATCTTAAGGTTCCACCTCCTCCTGTGCTTCAACCTCCCGTGGCAGCCATTCTGTGTCTGCGCCCACCGTGCTGTGTCAGAATACCGAACATGCCCACAGGCTAAAAAAAATTGGGGGACCCCCATTTTACCTCGTAGCGATTGTGTTTTATCGCCTTCTGCTTTTAACCTGGAAACCTCTTTTCTTCTTTGTCAGTTTTCCACCTGTCCCATAAAGTCACCAGCGTGGTTCCAGAGAGCGCATTGCTCATCTTCCTCGGCATCTGCCTGGGTGGCATCGTGTACGCGGCCGACCACATTGCCTCCTTCACCATGACCCCGACTCTTTTCTTCTTCTACCTGCTGCCCCCCATCGTCTTGGACGCGGGATACTTCATGCCAAACCGGCTGTTCTTTGGCAACTTGGGCACGATTCTCCTGTACGCCGTCATCGGGACCATCTGGAATGCGGCCACCACAGGCTTGTCACTTTATGGGGTCTACCTCAGTGGAATCATGGGTAAGGCTATTCAGACAAATCGTTCTTGCTTAGTGGCACGTTTTCCCCTAAAAATCCTGCGGCGCCCGTCCTCATATGCAAGATCCTACTCTGAGGTTTCATTCCGAGTAAGTTCTGCTCAGGAAAGGTTCTGCTTTTCCATTAGGGTTGCCGGGTGTACTCACCTGGCCGGTGAGGGGCACCCAGGGCACTTCCGGGAGACCAGAAGTTGTGTGGAGCAAGTTTTGGTCAAACCAGAAGTCCTCCCCCCCATGTGATGATATCACCTAGGAGTGACGTCATTGTGTTGGGGGCCGTTGGGGGTGACGCTCTGCTTTTTGGGCAAAACTCTATGGTAAATTTGACTTCAAAACCCTAGAGTTTTGCCCAAAAAGCAGAGCATCCATCCCTTGGTATCTCTGACATGATGCTGTCACCCAGAAGTGTCATTGTCACATTAGAGACGCACTTCCGGTTTACCCAGAAGTTGGCCAGGGGAGCGTGCGTTTGCAGGCAGGACTTCCACCACCAGCTAGCTGTCTGGCATTGGGAGGGAGCCTGCCAAATCGGGGTATTCCTCTCCCCCACCAGGGGGTTGGGATCCCGATTTTTCATATGCACTTTTACTTTCGCTCTCTGCTTTTTTTGCCTCATCAGAAGCTTTCTGCCAAACAAGACATTCCTAAATCAATGATTAAGCAACGTTTTAAATGCAAGTAAATGTTACTGGAACTGTTCAGCAAATCAATTATTTTTTCGCAGGTGGGGGGGGGTGCATTAAGTATTTTCTTCCAGTTTGCAGCAAAAGTCAGTCTTGGGTTTTGGTTTTTTTAAAAATTACCACATAATTTTTAGTTTGTATAATTTAGTTTTGTAATAGTGCTCTACCGAAAATCTAAAATAAAAATGAGGAGAATGGCCTTGACTGCAGAAAGAGAGAAAATAATTCCCTTGCGAGCTTCCAAAACCCGAGAACTAATAAGTAGCCAGGAATGTCGTGCCATGCCTGACCTGCTTCAAGGGCATACTGCTTTTTATGTTTAAAAATCACCACTATTCAAGCCTGGGAAAAGGGTGGAAGAACATCACAGAAAACGCTGAAATGCAGGGGTTTGCCAGTGATGTTCTCTGGAGTCACCATTAAAACTGAGCAAATCAATCTTGGCAGTACTAAACAGCTAGTATGGAAGCAAAGAGAACCTCCACGGGATGGGGAGATGTCTCCCCTTTCTTGCAGGGTCCTGTATGGCCCGGTTGAAAAGTGAAGCTGGCAAGGCAGGAGCCAAGCAGGAGTGGGTCTCAGTCAATTCTGAGCAGGAACAGGTGGGGTTTCTTTCCCTTTCAGGGTATTTCAGCCCTAGGCAGAGCAGATGGCCTTGTGGCACCAGTTCATAGGAGTGTGTATTTTCCTGCCAAGCCCACAGACTCGGACCTGGGAAACCTCAGGCTGGGACCAGAAGGTCCAGTCCAGCTACTCTGTGGATCCCTGCTCTGGAGAAGCCGATAGCCAGCTCCGGGGCTTGGCTGCTTGGATGGAACACCGTGCATCCTTGGCAAATTAAAGACAGATAGCAGAAAGAGTCCCCGTTACATAAACAATCAAAATTCTGGCAGGCAGAGTTAGCCGAAGCGGGCGTTTGGCACCTCAGAAGGGTCTGGAGCAGGCTCGTAGCTACAGCGGGGCCTTTTGGGGCCTGGCCCCCTGACTTCCTGCCAAGGCCCCCCACTTTCTTTCAACCCAGCCCCCCCCCCCGGCAAGATGCGGTGGCCGCCACAAACTCCCCCTGTGCCGCCGCTTCTCCTTGCCTTCCCCCTGCACTGCACCTCTCTCTGGGGCCACCTGAAGCGCCTGAGTTACCTTTAATTGGTTTAGCTAGTGCCCCCCGAAGAATTAAAATGCCCCCCGAATTAGAAATTCCTGGCTACGGGCCTGGTCTGTAGAGTTACACGAGAGTGTAGTTCCTGCCCTGACCTGGATAGCCCAGGCAAGCTGGATCTTGTCAGAGCTCCGAAGCCAAGCAGGGCCAGCCATGGCAAGACCTTGGAAGGGCGACCTCCAAGGAATACCAGGGCTGGGACACAGAGGCAGGTAATATAAGCCACCTCTCTGAAACATCCGAGCCACACTAGGAGCCGCCAGAAGTCACCATGACATCCGGGCTCACAAGCATGCAGGCGTGTGTGCACGCGCGCACACGCACACACACAGTCACTACTCACTCCCCCCCAAAAAAGAGTGTAGTTACTTACTTACAGTTTGCATCCTGAGGCAGCCCAGCAGAGCTGCAGGGGCACAGACGCAGACATTTTGCTTACATGTCAACAGAGTTGCAGGCAGCGTTCCCTCTAAGCTGAGTTAGTGTGAACTATCTCACAGCTTTTTTAGCCTCCGGCTCACACATTTTAAAAAAAAACCCAAAGGGATATTTTTATTTTTGCAATAAACTATAATACTACAAAGAAAATATTAGGGAGGGTACTACATCTAGGGATAAAGAAAAGATAACCACACTATACTAAAACCCAAAGAGAAGGAGATCTTATCCCTGTTAATGTAAGTGTTAATACTATTAGTGTTAGTATCACAATATACTTGTGGAGTTCTTGTTTATCTTAGCTTGAATATATATGTGTTAATATGTTCGTTGTTATGAGAGAGCTTTCTGATCATCTTCTTGTTCTTCGCTTCAAAAGGCTATTTTCTGAGTCCTTCCGCCTTTACTTCAGCTTTCTGTCTCTGAAGTCATATACAACTCTGGCAGCACTTGCTCCCTTTTCTGCATCTCTTCCGTTCCAGAGGTGGCAGAGTCACTAGATCTCGTTTCTTCCTCCTTAGACTCTTCCTCCGTTCCCAACTGGTGCCACAAAAACTCTTTAGCTTTGAAAGTAGAGTCCATCTTCTCTCTTTTATCATTGATCTTAAAGATGACACCCTCCGGGATCGCCCACCTGTACGGTATTCCATTAGTTTGAAGAAAAGAGATCAAATCCTTATAATTTTTCCTCTTTTGTCGGATTTCAAATGGAATATCTTTTAAGGTTTTGATGGTTATATTTCCCATTTTCAGTGGAGTTGTTGATGTCGCTTTTACGATGGCATCTCTGGTCTGTCTTCTTGAGAACCTGACCACAATTTCTCCAGGCAGGCTATTTTTTTTAATATAGTTGGAGTATGCCCTATAGGCCATCTCCATTTCTTTTACCAGTTCATCCGCTGTTAAGCCTATTGCTGGAGCGATGATCTTGCTAAGCAACATCCTCATGTCCTCTTTCTCTGCTTCAGGAACTCCCTGGAACTTGAGAATCATGTTAGCTTTTTCCATCTGTAGTTGCAGCAAACGACTTTCTTGGAAGTTCTGCTTTGTTTCCACTTCTCCCATTCTTTTCTTCAATTTCTTACTTGTGGTGTCTATCTCTTTAACTTTCTCAGTTGCCTGCTCCACTTTCTTCTCCGTTTCTTTCAGCTGTAGCTGCTGAGATGCAAAGTTCTTATTCATCAGTCAGTTGTTGGTTAATCCCATTGAGTTGTTCCATCAGCGACTTGAGCATATCCGCTAGCATTTTAATGACGTCTGCTCCCTCTTCCGGTTTAGGACTCTGACTGCCCGGCAGTTTCGTTTTCAGCTTTCTCTGCTGGGCTGCCATTTTCTCCAATTTGTTTACAGTTTCTAACGCTTCTTCCCGGCTCGAAAAACTCGCCCCATGATGACGGTAGTCAAGTAAGTCTCTCAGAACACATTCGTATTATTTCCTCCCCTCTCCCCCTTCGTGTCACTTGGCAGTTAACTTGCATCAGAGGCGTCCCTCTTTGTGTCCGCTTTTATCAGTGGGGGGGGATCCGCTTTTTCAATGATCCGGTTTATTCTGAACTCACGTTCATTGTCGGTCAGTTTCTCTGACCTCGCTCACTTTAAACACCATTCCGCTCGATCTCCGGCGATCAAACCAGATCTCCGATGAAACCAGCTAGTGCCTGAAGGCCACGCAGCGACTGGACCGTCAGGGCGGAGGGGAGCCTCGATTCTCCGACATTACGCCATCGAAGAGGCTACCCCTCAAAAGCCCTTTGGCCTGGAGCCTATTGCAAAGGCTCTGTGGGGGTGTCACTTAAGGTGGCACCCCTCCAGGCTGCTGGTGTGCGATTCGCCCTCCCACAGTTCAGGGAGAGTGTTTGCCATCGCTGCTTTGTAAACCGGAAGTCACAAGAACATCGTTAACAAAAAACCAAAAAAAACTTCAAGGCACAGATCAGAGTTCTTCAGCCTTCACTTTGTTTTATCTTTTCTAATCCTCAGTTGATATTCTCGTTTGGGGACTGCTGCCCCCTTTTCAGAGGCAGAGTCCTCGTCGGAAGTAGCAGAGTCCATTTCATCACTAAGTTTGCTGTCTTCTTCTTCCTTGCCGTCCTTAATCAAAGTAAATTAAATTAACTTTGATTTAATTGGTGGAACTCCTAAGGCAGCCCTGCATATGCACCCAGGCTCCAGGGTAATGCCCAGTGGCCGCAGCTTCCCTCCCCACCCCCCTGCAAGGGCAGATCAGTCCCCTGTAACTCAAGTAGCCCTACTAACAAGAGAACCGGCGCTGAAATGGGTGACCCATTATGTAGCCCGCGGTGCTGTGGAGAAACTCAGGGGGCGAGGATTCCACTCCCTCGGCTCCCTGCTCGGCTCCCCGGCACCAGCCGTCAGCCTCGTCCTCCCACAGTTCCTCTCGGGGCCTTCCCGACAGCCGCACCCGCTTCTAGGCACTCTTCCCCTGGGGCGGGCAGCCTCACGGGCTGGCTGGCTCTCCGTCCTTCCCTCCCTCGTTCGGTGGGTCATCGCCTCCTCCTTGGACCGGATGCGGGGCTTTCCAGGGCATGGGAGGGCTGGCAAGCAGCGGAGCACCCTTAAGATGAGGAGTCGCTTTGGGGAGCTGCAGGACAAGCCCCGCTCTGCGGAGCAGTGAAGACGTGCTGGGGAAAATGGGCACCGGCACCAGGAATGCGGGAGGCAGGCACCCAGGAGCAGCAGCAGGCA